AATTTTTCACATATTGGCATTTTCAAGGTGTGACTTTAAAGTTCCATGATCTTGAAGACTTTTGCTTGTCACATTTTCTGAATGTCCATGTTACTAATATTTTATTAATAACATTTGATTGTCATTATGCTGTTAAACATTATGTAATGTTGCATCAAAATTTGAAGAAACCCCTATTTTGGGCACTGCTCCTATGATGACCATTTAAGGGAAATCATGTCACTTACTGTTCTCAAACTTACAGGAAAGAAACATGGGTCTAACATACAGCTTCAATAGGCAACGCAGTCTGTTTGGTAAATTTTTCTGGCAATTTAACAGTTTTTTGTGAAAATTTAATTTTTCACTTATTTGCATCTTTATTTTCTGTTCTTTGTCTGTACATTTGACAGCTTTGCTGCCTTGTTGAATTTTTGCATAACTGTATCAAATTTACTGGTCCCAAAGTGTCAGTTATCGGTCTGCTGTTTTTCCTTTTTTCATTTAGTGAAAGATAAAATAGCATTGCAGCATAATTTACATTTGAATTAACAAAGTCAGAATTTAAAACCAAAGTTTGTCTGTTGAATTGTAATGACCCTTTCTTCCTATCCCTTTACTATTTTCTTACACCCCTTTTTATTTATGTAAATATTTCATAATTATTATTCATAATTATCTGTTGATTTACAAATTAAGTAATTGATTTTGTAAATTTATTTTCTGTTGTAGCAAGATCATGTTTGTTCTACAAATTGGAAGTCAAAAACAGACAGATACATGTAACATAAAAGTGAATAAGGACAACATTGGAGAAAAGTCTGTAATACTTCAATATTCAAAGAACAAGGTAAAGTGAACATGAGGCATTCTTTATGTAATAATGATATGAAGGAACTCTGACTAATGGGTTTGAATTGTTAAAAATTACAATATTTGTTTAAGTAAATTTGTGCATCCAATACATAATAAATGGAATAAATGGAATAGGTGAAAACTGTTGATATATGCACGAGTGTAAGTATAAAATGTTCATCTTATCCATTTACAGTTACCCATTATAATGGGTCTAAGGTCTTGGAATAGAAAAGGTTGATATTAATATCAATGTTTAATTGTAGATTGTTGGCAGATTGTGTTTTTGATAAATATTTTGATTTGCATTGTCTGTACACTCTGTTACTGGTAAGCTTGACACTTTTATTATAGGGATGAAAAAGTAAAATTTTAATATAAAATATATTGCCAACTAAGATATTTTAGATCATTGTGACTACTGACAGATATAATACTGCCTTGCCTAGCTACTAATCATTAACAGTTAATTACAAAGTTGTCAAAAAAGAAAGGAAAAAAGAAAACACTAACTTGTCTCGGTTTATATTAGCAAATACAGTTTAGATGAACATATCACTTGTTGCTTCTTATCATTAGGGGCTCAATTGGATGTTACTGGCTTCCCACGACCCACGGAACTATCTTTCTCCAAAGAGAGTGTCCTATGACATTCCTACAGATGCTAAAGTGTTAGGGGTGCAGTTCCGGTGGTGGCAGCCATTGCATGATGGGAAGGGACATGACCAGTGGGCCATCGACTCTGTGGAAATAATCATGTAAGACGTGATGGAAGATATTCTGGATGGTTTAAAATGAGGATGAACAGTAGTGTGAGAAATAATATGAGAACACAAAAAGTGTAAGAACTTGCAAGAAGTGGGGGTTTATGTTATGCAGGTGAAGCATTATTTTTTCATCACAGAAAGTAATAAAAAAAGCCACATGGGCTATGTTGGATGCTCTCTATTGTTATAGAATTAAGTAAACACATTAGTGGATCCAGAATATCAAGAAGAGATTGGGGTGGCAACCAATATTAATTTTTTCCATGATAATTGTATAATATCATGCAAGATGTTTTACTTTGGTGAAGGGATAAAAGGTGTATGTTTTACCTATCTTTTGATGTATGTCATGATTGCTAGTTCCCAAATTTCCCTTTTTATTTTAGGACTCGCCAAGATGAAATGTTAAGAGATGCTGCTTGGGTGCAGTGGAATAGGTGGCAGCACAGGCAGCGGCATAGGTCCTTGTCACCTGGGTAATAACAATCAGCATGCAAGGTAAAAATCTGCCCTTACACTTGAAAATTAGTGAAGCTTGCTGTGAATGCATCATGCCATAAAGCAGTAATGATCCCAGTAAATGTGTGAATTGGACCCTACCTACAGTTCCTCACTTGAAGGTCATTTCTATCTTTAATAGAAAAAAACTTAATTTTGTGGATAGTATTATTGGTATTGGTAATTATTGATTTTGTTTGTAATTTTACTTGTACATATTTTGTTTTAGGTTTTTGTATCTCCAGAGCAGAGGAGGATTTTGTTGTCCATAAATCTGAATGACTTTGTGAGGCTTCCTCGGACACCATCTTCAGAATTTAAGAACAGAAATATGCGGCTTACATGTAGGAAGCATGGAGACAAATACCATCAACTTAAACCCTGCTGCAGGGGAAAATATGTGACTCCTTGGAAAAGAATATAATATTGAACACTTGACATATTTTTGTAATTTTTGTATTTTAATTGGTTTATCCCATGTTTGTAATAAGTTCACCATATTATTTTATTGTATTAGATACCATTTACTTAATAATACATAAGTGTTATTATAATATTGTATTCTGTATCCTATAATCTTGTATTCTTTTCCAAAATGATTTATTCTCTTTAATCATTTTGTATTTTAGTTATTTATTTAAATCATTAAGTTTTTTAAGGTTAGAAATCAATTTTCCACTCACAATAATTTATATATAAATGTTTTTAACTGTTAGCTATTTATTGATATTTATTAATATCAATATCTATTATCTATTAATATTATCTATCAACTGTTTAACTATTATCTTTCTAAACACGTGTATATATAAATGTTTTTTTAACTAATATCTTTCATCCGGACTATTTATTGACTGATCATAATAGAAAATTAAATATACGAAAAATAGATTAATTTTTTCTTTTTGTTTTCTGTCTTATTTGACAAGCTGGCTTTTTTTATTTATAACAAAAAATGAAATGCATTAACTCTATAGCATGACCTTAATGCCATGCTCATTGTTGTAAGCACTGGATAACCATTGAGATTAAGACAATGTAGTAAAGTGGGAGATTCTGATCTGATTCTGCTCTATTTTAATAAAAAAATGTTTTTAGTGCAATTAGAATATTACAGTGGCTAAAACTGCACAAAGAAACCAGCCCATATCTAAGGATATCTGCAACAATATCAGGGTCGCTTGCAATTTGAAAATTTATGGTGGCATTTGGCATTTGGTCCAGTTTAGCGGCAATAGTAAGGCATAGATGCTCGCTTAATATGCATCTTTAAGTTCAGTCCGAGGCACGGATCAATGGCAATACAGACTAAGTAGTTTTTAGAATATAACTTTTACTGACACATCTAAAATAATATTGTAATTTTACAATACTAATGTCACAAACTCGAGAACAATACAATTGCGTTTCTAATGTATAAGGTTTTCCTTGTTTGCACCCTTTCACCCCCCAAACCGTCCACCCCTTTCCCTTCTCTATCATGGCAATTCTCATTTCTGCACTATCTAAGCGGATAAGAGATGTAACTAAATATTAATGCAAAGATACATAGGGCCTATGTAATAACAATATATTATTCTATAGTCTAAAATCCATAAAAATGTGTTTTGCAGACTTAACAAATAAAATACAATACAAATACAAAGTTAAAGGGATTAATTTATATTAAAAAGTAATGGTATTAAAAGTGAAGAGAACATCTCCAGTTATAGTATTCTGTAAAGTATTAAATGGTCAACCATAAAACCTTTTAAAAAAGATTGGTTTTTAGTGCTTTTTCAAAATCATCTGTTGAGCTAGGGATCTTCAGAAAGTCTCCTTTTACTTTTCCTTTAGTCAGCCCTTCAATGATCAGTATGACATAAGGTGCAAATCACCTGCTTACATGTACCGCGTGTATTGTGCACCTACAACAGTTGCCCCACCCCCCGCCCCAAGCATTTTCCCCATCATTCGGCCGTTCATCCTGCAGATATATCCCTGTCTTATAAATTCCGTCGTAAAGGTATGTGGTCTACTTGAATATTGAAGATTTACAACTCGACAATAACCAAATGTGACAAAACTATGTTACCAGGTCTCAGGGACTTTAAGTTCCACTTTGTGTCGGTGAAAATTTGTTGTCTTCACGGAGGGTAAGTGGTACTTCTGTTGATTGGGTCAGGATTTTACTGTCACTACTCCTGCTTGCGAGATGCTCGAGTTCCTTTGGTTTACAATACACATAAACAAACGGATTTAGCGTGAGACTCGCTGGCATGACGAGAAGTAAAAGAATTCCTTCATAATCTACAACAGATACAACACCACTTTCATATAACTTGGCAATCAAAATTGAAAACCAGTTCGCGAATAATGTAAAAATAATCCAGACAAAACCCTGTGTCCAACGAGTATAAGCATCCTGCTTGATGTCCCAATCTCTGATTTTAGACCACGATTTATACAAAACAACAAACAAAAATATGAGGAATGCCAAAGGGAGAAAGTTAAAAAATATCAGTAACCAGTCTAACGGAGCATTCGTGTGATCAAATAAAGTACAGAAACTCGATCTATCGGAACCGTGTATCACTGACATTGCGCTTAGGACAGTGTAAAAAAAAACTACCATGCCCGACGAAATCAGGTAGCTTTTCTTTGGAATTTTCACACCAGGAAAAAGCAATAAACGAATATCTTCTGCCAATATTGCAACCATAAGGTACATAGTGGTTCCGATGGAAACGCTCAGAATGCAAGCCGCTAATTTGCACAACCAGTGGTGTGTCCAATTGTTAATGTGAATATAAAACTCTCCTCGAAACAATTGGTCCACCACAGCCAAAACGAGCATGTATGTGCCGGAGAGGACCTGACAAAGCGCCAAAAAAACAACCAAGACCAAACCCATATCATTCCTTTGAGACCCTCTGACGCGAACCCAACCAATAACTGCCAGGTTACCTAACAATGCAACCAAACATAAAACCCAAATGACCACTTTTAAGAAAACATCGGAGATCAAGTCCGAACACGTGACCAGACCGACAGGCCGAGGCGTGCATTTGATCACCTGATTAGCGATACAACACAACCTCGCCAAACCACTTTTAAATAGGAGGTCCGCGTTTAAAATTGACAAGGCACTGGCGTTGACGTTGGTAAGAGGGTTTCCTTTGAGGTTAAGTTCGTTTAAAAATGCAAAAGGAGCCAGAGTTCCGTCGTAAAGGGTATCCAAATTGTTATGGCTCAAATCCAAAGATTTTAGATTTTTTAGACCTTTAAAGGCATTTTCATCAATAAAATTAATCATCATGTTAGCCAGCGTCAAGTGTTGCAAAGACTGCAACCCAATAAATGCATAACCTAAAACTCTGGTAATTGGATTATTCGTTAAGACCAAATTTGTCAAAAAATGCATATCTTGAAACATGTGCCCTTTAAGTGCTGTCAGATAATTGTGAGATAGATTTAAATCACGTAAGTTATGGAGCCCTCGGAATATGTTCTTTGGTAGTGTTTGTTGTCCGCAATTTGAAATGTCCAACTTAACCAAGTATATTAGCTGATCAAACGTTCTGTTTGACAATTCAAGGGGATTGCCAGAAAGAATCAACCCCCTTAGGTTGAAAGAATACGTGGGTATGTATGTTAAGTCCTTATTAACGCAATGCATCGATTCCCCTAAGCAGTTGCATTCTTGCGGGCAGGTCACGTGCCCGCAAAACTTCTCGTCGTCCCCACTTTTCTTACAGTGTTGCTGTCCGTCACAAAGTTCTGACACATGTACGCAAAACCCGTCTCCTTTACCGCGAAAAGCACCTGGACATGAATACGTATGTGTCGTGCAATTCTGCTCGTCTTCTGCACCAGGACAATTTTGGACGCCATCGCAAATACTACGCAGATTTATGCAATATGAGTTGGGGCATTTAAAAAGATTTTGGCTAGAACAAGGAATGTCTTGACACCCTTTTAAATGGTCGCCACTTCTGCAGTACGCAACAGTGCCGTCTCCTAGAATGTCATGAATGCAAGCGTTCCAAGGGCAGAAATAGATATTACTGCCATCTTCACAGGGAACCATGTTAGTCTTGCACGAGAAAGCTATCTGCGTCGTATTCTCGTCTTCTCCAAAATTTCCAGGGCAATCATAGACACCATCTCGGATATACCGATCAGCCAGGCAGTGCCCAGAAAAGCATACGAAACCGTCGCAGTCTTCTTGCAAAGAACCACAACCCTGTTCGTCTGTGCCATCGAGGCAGTCTTGTACTCTGTCACAGCGGTTTTGTAGAGGCACGCACTGGCCACGAAAACAACGGAACTGGTTCGGGTCACAGGGAGGGTGCCGACAGTATTTCTCATCTGATTCATCGGGGCAGTCCGGGTAGAAGTCACAAAATTTGGAGACAGGGATACACTGTCCGTTGTCGCAAGGAAATCCGTGGAGTCCACATTCGCTACCCAGTTTAGATAGTTCGCTGTTCTGTGTGACATGCAAGTCACGACAACCTGATTCGTCATCCCCGTTGATACAGTCTCTTACACCGTCACATTTGTGGTGTTTCAAAATACACGTGCCGTCGGAACACTCGTGGAAGAATTCGGATGCTTTACAATTTATGTCCAAACTATTGGTCAGGTCTCTCTCACAGAGAGCAAATTTGATGCTGTCCAAGAAGATATCCTCACCTGCAATGTTTGGCAGGGTGCAATTAATAATTTCCCACGCTCGTCGGCTCCTGAAATGCATAAAGAAACGGCGTGTTCGTATGATTTTGCATAGTAATCGTTGAAGCATATGCAGAAGCACATGATCAAACGTGCAAAGGGTTTGTGGCTGCATAAGTTGGTTTATACTGTAAAAAGTTACTCTTCAAGAGATACGATACTTGTAACTAAGGGAAAAATGCCTGCAAATTTCACAAATTTACCTATTGTCACCATGGTATACGTTATCCAGAATTGTACAAAAAATTGCGATCTATAAACCTGTTTAAATCTAAATTTCTAATTTCTACCGTTACGAATGAAATTTATTCCGAATTTAGTGCTTTAGAAATACAGTCCGCAAATAATATAACTTCTTTATTAAGTGTTAGCAGTCAATGCTAAAGGAGCACCATAGTCGGTACAAATAACCAGCTTCCAATATATATATATAGCCCTTCAAAACCCTTTCCACGCCGTTTGCTCAGTCTGCGTCCCTGTGAGGGGAGACAGAGAGAGAGGATAGGAAAAAGATAGAGAAAGGAGGGAGAGAGGGGGGTAAAAGGTGGGGCGAAAGGGAGATTTTCACCAAAACCGGGACACTTTGGTGTGCAAATATTTAATCATTAGCTTAATTAGGTGGAAACAACCCCTTACCACTACTAACCGCTTCTTGTACTTAAGAATTTTATGGTCGAAAAAATTACGAAGAATGAAATCGGAAGAGATAGGAATTCATACCTTTGGCCAAAGTCGGCGTACTCTTCGTGCAGGATATGAGAAAAGTACGCAACAGAAGTGCCATATATGCAGGTAGAGTTAGCATAGTCATAGTCGGGTTCCGCAATCACC